TTCTGGCTTTTTCTGCTTATGTGGTGCTGAGGAATCAAACCCAGGGCCTCATGCATGCAAAGCAAGCACTCTACCACTGAGCCACCTTCCCAGCCATACTTAAAGTTAATTTTTAAAAAAGAAAAATAAAATCATGCTGTGTGCCCTAAATTGTCCCTTATGTATTTTGTCAAGCTTGGGAGATTTTGCTTTCTTTTCTTTTCTTCTTTTTTTTTTTTTTCATTTAAGTTTCTCATATTTCCCTTTTTCTCCTTGATGGATTTTTGGTTTTGGAGGCAAAACATTATCTCTAGCTTTCAGGGAACAGATTTGTTCCCTGATCAAACTGAAGCCTTGCTGCTCCCGTGGCCTGTCCTTCAACAACATTGAAGTCCTGAGTTGTGCTTACTGTTGCTGTTAAGTCCTAGCTAGAAACATAAGTTGCTATTAATTTCTATCTTGTACCTTTTAGGTAGCTTTAGAGTCCCTGCCTCCTTTTTTTTTTTTTAACCTTGGTATAAACATTGGTTGCAATAATAAATGAAGGGAGGAAATAGCTCTCCATCATGGTGCGGTACCTACAGACCAAGACAGGCCTTCTGAAAAGCTCAAGTTCCTTTTAAGTGAGAAACACCATACACAGGGACTGGGTTGTAGGTTCCTCTGTCAAGCACAGCTTTTCATTTTGTCGGGCTGGGAAGGTGGCTCAGTGGTAGAGTGCTTGCCTTGCATGTATGAGGCCCTGGGTTTGATTCCTTAGCACCACATAAGCAAAAAGAAAAAAGCCAGAAATGGCGCTATGGCTCAAGTGGTAGAGCACTAGCCTTGAGCTGAAGAGCTGAGGGACAGCGTCTAGGCCAAGAGTTCAGGCCTCATGACCAGACCCAAAAAAAAAAAAAAATCATTTTGTTTGGCTTTTACCTCTCTCTCAGCAGCTCCTATAATTTGTGTGTCTTAGCCATCAATCTTTTGTTATTTTATTCTACAAATCTAAGTTAAGTAAGGAAAAACCCTTTCTCTGTTCTTGCTGGATTGCCTTCATCCTTTACTTTCTGTCTCTGTCTCTCATCTTTGTCATGAAAGGAAAACACCCTTAGGAAGCCTGCTGCCATTTTGAAATTTGGTATTGATGTTCTACTCGGCATGTACTATTTGGTATATGTATGAGGAATCCCATTTAAACACCCTCTCTGTGACTGCAGCTTAAGTGGTTTTGCTGGTAAGTGGGAACAACAAGGCTTATTTCATAAGAGTCTTCACTTTGAGACCATATCCTGTTTCTCCATTTTCTCTAAAAAAAACCATACAGGATGATGAAGAAATAAGATGACAAGAGTCTACAGAAACATACTTGCAGCAAGCTAGTCTCAGTGTTGTTTGTTGGATTCTATAGAGACTTGTAAATTTTAGTCTTTTCTTTTTTGGTTCCTGGACTCAAGCCCAGGACCTCATGTATGAGCTCTCTACCACTGAGCTATCTCCTGGCCTTAATACTATATAGCATTTAAAAATTTTTATGTATTTATTTACCAGTTGTGGAGCTTGAAATCAGGGCCTGGGCCCTGTCCCTGAGCTTCTTTTGCTCAAGGCTAGCACTCTACCACTTGAGCCACAGTGCTACTTTCCAGCCTTTTCTGCGTATGTGGTACTGAGGTCTGATGAGGTTGTTGTCATGCTTGCCTGTAAGAATGCAATGGTGGGTGATGTGTCTTTTCTAGAACACAGTGGTCCCATGCATATCCTTCATGGGAGCAATCAGAGAATATGTGATTTCCCTGTCTCTGAGACCTATTTCTTGATCCCTAAATGTGATACTAGAAAATCCACCCTAAGCTCTGGTTAGCTTCAGGGGGCTATCACAAAGATAACCGTTTTCCATAATACACTTACTGATTCCACTATAGACACAGCCCCCAGGGACCTTGATGATGCTACGTTTCCTTTCTTGTGTCACTTGACAGCTCAGTGACATCGGATGTTAGTGACATCATTAACCTCTCCCTTTGGGCAGCACTTTGCTTTCGCCTTCGATAACTTACCATTCTGTTGATTTGGAGAAGATGTTACCGCCCCTTCCCCCCCCCAACCCTCTCTGTCTCCCAAAAATCTCTTTTGCAGTTTTGGCCTCTGCCAATTGCCTTTGACATAATGGGATTTTCTTCTTGTTCTGTTTTCCTGGGGGATCTCATCCACATTGAAGGCTTCGGTTTCATCTTAACATATCTGCTCCCAAGGCTGGGAATGTGGCTCAGTGGTGGAGTGCTTGCCTAGCATGCATGAAGCCCTGGTTCGATTCCTCAGTACCACATACACACAAAAAAGCTGGAAGTGGCACTGTGGCTCAAGTGGTACAGTGCTAGCCTTGAGCAAAGAATCTCAGGGATGGTGCCCAGGCCCTGAGTTCAAGCCCCAGAAATGACTAAAACAAAAGCAAACAAACAAATAAAACCAACCAACCAACCAAACAAACAAACCTATCTGCTTCCAAGCATGTTGGCCTGACCAGTATGGCAACAGACCAGCTCCTCCTATCCAGAGCAACAGAACTTTAGGTGTAGTAGTTCATTCATATCTTGTGAGCCTGTCTCTCTATGTCTGTTTTCCCATTGGATAGCCAGTCTCTCACACTCTCTCATATTCATTAGTTTGTTCATTTAGTTGTGGTGCCCAGGGTCTTGAGTATATTAGGCAAGTACTATAGCACTGACCCTTTTGCCTAGCCTTCTCTTTCAGTAGGAAAGAAAAAAAATCCTCCCCCCCCCCATGTATCTCTGTGTTATGAAGTAGAACATTAGCTCTTGATCAGAAAAAATATAGACTTAATATTTTTGTGTGCTAGATCTGGGGTTTGAACTCAGGGCTTGGAGGCTGTCCTGGAATTTTCATGCTCAAGACTAGTGATCTACTACTTCACCCACAGCTTCACTTTTAGCTTTTTTGGTGATTAATTGAAGATAAGAGCCTCTTGGTCTTTCTTGCCCAGGCTGGCTTTGAACTGTGATCCTCAGCTTTCAACCACCTAAGTAGGAAGAATTATAGACATGAGACACCTGTGCCTAGCTAGATTTACTATTTCTGTTTCTTTTTTTTTGGGGGGGGGGTCCGGTAGTGGGGCCTGAACTGAGCCTGGGTGCTGTTCCTCAGCTTTTCAGCTCAAGGCTAGCGCTCTTCCACTTGAGCCACAGCACCACTTCCGGCTTTTTTTTCTGCTTATGTGGTGCTGAGGAATCGAACCCAGGGCCTCATGCATACAAGGCAAGCGCTATACCACTGAGCCACCTTCCCAGCCCCTAGATTTACTATTTCTTAAACTAGCTGGGAAGGACCATGTCCCTCTCTACCCTCCCCAGTCTTGCTCACCAGCCCTCTGTCAAAGATTTTCCATACTGTGAGAAACTTATTAGGACAGAGAGACATGGCAGACAGCTGAGCACAGGCGGTGCTGAGCCGTGCTTGCTGTGTGAGGAGGGTTGGGCAGGGTTATTTATGTAGTTGCAGGAACAGGAGACCTTTACCCCTGCCAACGGCCCTTTGGATATTTATAACATCATTCCATGGACTAGACGTATTGGATTTCCCTTTGAAAAAAAAAGCTCCTGGATTTATTGAATTTCAAGTTCCACCTGCAGTTGCCTTGGCAGAGCAAGTCCTGATAATTTCATGGACCTTAAAAGGGCCTTGGGGTGGTCTTTCTTACCACTGGTGGCAAGGCAAAAGCAAAGCAGAAGTGCATCCTCTGGAGGGAGGGTGGTCAGAACCCACAAGGGGGCGCTGCAAGGGCAATTTCAATAGGCGTCATCGCTCTATTTTCCTACATGCAAATGAATGCTTTTTGTATTGATCCTCTTCCACCTTCCTCGGCCATCCCACTCCCTCTGTCCCCCCTCCCCTAAATACAGCCTGTTTGACTTACCTTTCAGTCTTTTTGTTTTTTGTTTGGTTGTATTAATTGTATCAAAAGGTTTCACCATGGTATATGGGTGTATGTACATTTTGCTCAGTTACTCTCTCCTACTGTTTTCTCCTGTCCT